GGGGTTAGGCAGACGGTTATGGAGGAGGCTCATAAGTCTCATTTCTCTATTCACTTGGGGGCCACCAAAATGTATCGAGATTTGAGGTTGAGCTATTTGTGGCCGTGTATGAAGCGGGAAATAGCTTGGTACGTTGAGAGGTGCTTGACCTATAGGATGGTCAAGGCCGAGCATCAGAGGCCGCATGGAAAGCTGCAGCCCCTAGAGATTCCCATGTGGAAATGGGAACATATCATGATGGATTTTATTACCAAATTACCGAAGACGGCAAAGGGGTTTGATGCTATATGGGTCATCGTGGATCGATTGACCAAGAGCGCCCATTTCGTGGCTATACGAGAGGGCTCATCGGCCGAGAAATTGGCTGAATTGTACGTTCAGGAGATCGTGTCTCGCCATGGGGTTCCTGTCTCCATTGTCTCTGATCGGGATGTCAGGTTTACCTTCCACTTCAGGCAAAAGTTTCACGAGGAGCTGGGCACGCGGTTGCACTTCAGGAAGAGGGGAAAATTGGGACCCTGATATATCGAGCCGTTCAGGATCATTGCCAGGGTTGGCAAGGTGGTTTACAGGCTAGAGCTGTCGGAGGAGCTTAGTCGGATACACAGCACTTTCCACGTTTTGCAGCTACGAAAGTGCGTCATGGATCAGTAGGTGGTGGTGTCTTTGGATGATATTCAAGTCGATGAGCACCTGAATTATGTGGAGAGGCCCGTGGCCATACTGGAGAGAAAGATGAAGATACTAAGGAATAAGGAAATACCTATGGTGAAGGTACAATGGGAGCACCGGAAGGGGTCCGAATGGACGTGGGAAGCAGAGGCAGAGCTGCGGGAGCATTATCTGGGACTGTTCACCGCAGCAGACTTCGAGGACGAGGTCTAGTTCAAGTGGGGGAGAATTGTAGCACCTCGATTCCAGGTATGGATTTAAATAAATAATAATTTGCCTTATGTCCTACTCGACGAGTTGGTTGCCCTACTTGTCGAGTAGCAGCGGGAATAGAACGCGTGTTTATTGACCTACTCGGCGAGTCCACTAAGGGACTCGGCGAGTAGGAGCTGGAAGATGAAACCCTAAATTTTGGGGGTTTTGAACCCTATTTAAAGGATCATTGGCCTCCACCAGCCTCCCCTTACTGCTTCTTGTCCCTCTCAAACCCTAAATTGTGTGTGTGTGTGTTCCTTGGTGTGTTCAAGCTTGGAGGAGTAACCTTGGAAAAGGAAGCACTTTAGGTAGCAAGGAAAAGCAAGGCCAAGAACTTGTGGGAAGCTAAGGGATTTCCTTAGTTATCACTCTCTGGAAGGTATTAGGCTGTTCCATAAGCTCATTTCTTTTTTAACCTCTCTTGGATGGGTGTTATGAAGGGCTCTCCATGTTTAAGCTAAGATTTGAAGTTGTAACTTCAGATCTGGACTTCCCTTGACATCTAGATCCATAAAGTTCCCAACATGTACAAGGATGAGACTCTCCCAAGGTGTAAAACTCCATTAAGATCTTAGATTGATCATTTAGGGTCTTTAGAGCCTTGCATGTGCGTAAAGTTTGAAACTTTACGTGATAAACATGCCTTAGGAGCTTGGATTTGTAATCTGGGACCTTGCCATGGCTTAAAAAGCATCTGCATGGATTAAGAACTGCAAGGACTCGGCGAGTTGAATGAGAAACTTGGCGAGTCCGTTGAAGATGGCCATGAACTCGGCGAGTTCGTTGAAGATTGCCTTGAACTCGGCGAGTTGTTAGAAGACTCGGCGAGTTGGCTAAGGTTTCTTCCAAATCTTGGTCACGTATGAACTCGACGAGTTAAAAAGGGAAACTCGATGAGCCAATCAAGGATTTCACGACTTCTCAAATTCAGGAAGGACTCGATGAGTCAGTGACCTGCACTCCACAAGTCGAGTCAACATAGACTGTTGACTCTGACTGTGGACTTTGACTTGGACCAAGGGTTGACCAGTTGAATTCTGTTGGTTTTTGGTAATTGGGAGATTCATGAAAGGTTGTATGGTACCTATATGTGATGGAGTTAGTGTTGGACCCGGGAGTTGAGCTTTCTTATTTCCGACGACAGTTGCGAGGTGAGTTATCCTCACTATACTAAGGGGTCTAAGGCACCAAGGCCAACCCATTTGATATGATATCCTAGTAGTTGTATTATGTTGAGTATGAGTTAGTTAGGCATGCTAGTTTGATATGCTAGAGGGTAGGTCTATAAGACTACCTGTGATACTGATTGATTTCCTGTATGTGCATTATATGTTACATGTTAATATGTTATGTGGGATGGGTTGAGATTGTATTGCTCCGTGCGGTAGCCAACAAACCCTAGAGTATTCCACATATGAGCTGAGGGCCTGGTAGGTAGTCGAGACTCATACTGAGGACTTAGGAGAATTCCAGATACGAGCTGAGGGCCCAGTAGGCATTCCAGACTCGTACTGAGGGCTCAGTGGCAATCCAGATGTGAGCTGAGGGCCCAGTAGGCATTCTAGACTCACACTGTTGGCCCAAGGGTATTCCAGTCTGTAAAGCTGTGGATCCGTTATGTGCTGTTCTGCTCGGTTTGTTATGATATGTTATGGTGTGACATGGTTATGTGGACTGTATGTGTATCAGTATTTTGGGGGTAACTCACTAAGCTCTCGGGCTTACAGTTTTAGTTTATTATTTCAGGTACATCAGGGGATCACGACAAGGCGAAGGCATGATCGTACATCTCCTCCTATTATGTTATGTTTCTGGGAAAACTCTGATATAAATGTATTTTTAAAACAAAGTGTAATGTTTTGATGAATTCGACATGTTTTGAAAGTTTAAATTTGGCTTGAATTTTCGGGTGTTACAGGAAGTCTAACAGCTGACAGCCCTGGAATGTTGAAAGGTCTGGTTCTCACGAATGGAGGCGACACTGAATGGAGGCATATTTTCATCTTCAATTAGTTAAAACCCTAATCTAGTTAGAGAATGAGAGAGAGAGAGAGAGAGAGAGAGAGAGAGAGAGAAAGAAAGAAAGAAAGAAAGAATGACGTCATGACCAAAATAATTAAGCTAATTATATGGAACCATAAAATGGAAATTCCATCACTACCCTTAAGGTCCCTAAATGTAAATTTAATAATTACAATTTGGTTCCACAAATCTTGTAATTTACATAAATGACACATTAATATGAACCTTTGATTTTAAGATTTAAATGGCTCAGATCTGTTCTGGCGTTCTCAACCTTTTTGGTGTTCTCAATTGATCCTACTCCTATCTATATATATATATATATATATATATATATATATATATATATATATATATATATACACACATATATATATACATATATATATATACATATATATATATATATATATATATCGATCTTTCAAGAGGCTCCTTACACTACTAGAAAATAGACCTTTAATGACGCGCTTTTTACGACACGCACTGATTAGTGATACGCAAAAGGATGTGCCCTAAAAATAATGTCAGATCTTTAGAAATTTAAAGAATTTTGGATGCGCATTTTTGCGTGCCCTAGAATTAGTGTCTCGCCAAAAAAAAAACACGGAGGCGCTTATGTTAAAGGCGTGTCGACTAGAAATGTCGCTTTATAATTTTAGAAACACGCTCTTCTAATTTTAGAAACGCGCTCTTCAGCAACTAGCAGCGAGAAAAAGGAAATTAAAAAAAAATTAGAAAACCCGCCTTCCTTCCTTGTTTCCCCTCTTTAGCTCTGGGTGTGTTCTTTGACCACAAAAATCTTCTCCGGTCTTCCTCTGCCTCCCTACATCGAGTGTTGCTTGCTTCTTTCCCTTGCACTCCGACCGCCGCCACCGATTCTTCCCCGTCAAGGCTCATTTACTTCTACCCACAGGAACCACCATATCTCCCACTTGATGTTGAAATTGTCAGAAAAAGCCCTAATTCAGTATTATACTCTCAAGTCTCAATATTAAGAATGCAAATCTTGATTCTCATTTGTTTCTTATTCCCCACAGATAAATCAAAAAAAGGGAATTAGAATGACGAAGGTAGCGGGAGTTTTGGTCCGGTGGTCGTGGTTCATCTATCGAGCAAGGAAGATAGGAATGCAAGCAGCCATGGTGGCTCGATGATGGCAATCAATCAAGAAAGGGGAAGCACCTCTGGTGCGGGATCGATTTGACGAAAGGAAAAGGGAGAAGCAGCAACGCTTCTCTTGTCTGCCGGCAGCTAGGGGGCGCTCCGGCGGTCTCCTTGGTTGTTCTTCCTTGTCACCAACATATTACACGTAGGGAGGGGACTCAACTAGTCCGATGGAGCAGGGCAGGTAGCGACTGGTAGATCGGGACGATCGATCTATTCGTGAGGAGGAGGAGGAAATTATCGGTTCCCGGTGAGCCTTCCTTAGCTTCTTAGACTCCATCATCGGTAAAAATCGGGTAAACGAGTCAGGTTCTTGTCTGATTTTGATGAAATAAACGGAGGGGGGAAAGGTTTGGGTGGAGGTCTGATCGATGAAAATAGTGGGAGCCTCTTGGTCTTGTCGGATGCTACTCCATCTCCAGTGGTCGTTGAGAACGAAGGGGAGGACCTCTGGGGTTTGGATAGATCAAAGGAAGAAGAAGAATGAAGTTGTGGTGGTCTTCGGTGATTGAAGGTAAACGGATGGGGTTTTCTTGAACCTCACAGGTCATATTCTTCTTCTTCTTGGAGCTTTTTTCTTGACGTTAGATAAACAATGTCTATTCTCCTGTAGTATAAAATTATTGCTCACAAACACAAATGAATACTCCCTCCTTCCAAACAACTAGTCCAAAATTCAAAATCAACTCAAATGCTTTAGTTTTTCTTGACTTTGAATCTTTATTTTTTGTCATAATGATCAACATTAGGGCTTTTTTTCTCAGATAAAGACCGGGGGTTTAGTTGTCTAAAGATCTGGAAGCATTATCATACTGTACAGAGGAATAGACTACAAGTGTCCTTACTTATTTGTAAAACCAAATGATGCATCTGTTGATGAACCAATGAGTTCATCTACAAAATCTGAAGATAATGGTGTTCAAACAAGAACAAGAACTGATACAGAGCCACCTTTGATTCAAGGAGTGGGTTAAAGAACCAGGGTTTGATTTCAGCTACCTGGTGAGAAACAGCTCATGGAAGAATTTGATCAGCTTTTGCAAGGATTGGGTCCAAGGTTTCAGCCTGTTGGAAGTTGGATTTCACGTATTGATTCATCCCTATCTTCTTGTGATTTTTAAATACAATTTTGATTTTCTAAACAATTTTTATCTAATTGAACATGATGCACCTATTATTTTTTGTGTAGTGCAACTAGAAAAAAGGGAAAAATCTCAATTTTGATGGTACAAATGAACGAAACAGATCCACATCCTTAATTAGTTGTGTAGTTAGAAGAGCAAAATTTGATGTATACATGACTCTTGACCATAGACACCAATATGATCGTATGTGGCTGGCACTCAATCTTCTCCACTTATGACAAAATGATAGTTTAACAAAGGTTCAACATCTCTTATAACTATTGTTTTTTAGCAGTGAAGATTTTTAAGAAAAAAAAGATTTTGCAGGGTTACATGGTGGGAATTAATCTAGATTGGAGAGGCAATGGTAATGGATGTTGTGAGGATTTTAATAAATCATAAGTCCTCTTCCAGAATTGATAAGACAAGGCGAACCAAGACATGTTTTAACAACATGGTGGTTGCTAGCTAATGGAGGGCCAATCGAATGGGGTAACACCTTGATTCAATCAAAACTTGTCCCGGTCTTCTATGGTAAGTCATTGGAATCTCAAGACCTGATTTGAGACATTATTAATCAATAAAAGTTAAGACTTTTATGCTTATGAAATGATAATAATAAAATAATTATAATTGTGATTTATTAATCCAGGGATCTCAGTCGTAACTACCTCAATGGAACTTTACCTCCCCCAATGGGCTACTATGTGTTTGGTTGACCTGTATGATTTCTGAACCACCCAATTTTTTTACATGTGAAAAATAATTATTTTACTTTAATAAAACGTCTTAATCTTATAATAATAAACCATGATTATATGCAGCTCTCTCATGGTAAACAAATTATCCGTCCCATTTCCAAGAGTTCTCAGCAGAATAACTACCCTTGTAAATCTGTAGACAACATCACCCGTTCTTATTTTGTTACAATACAATAAATAGAAAGAAAAACATCACTTTGATTATTTCTTCAACATTTTTTAGGAGCGTGGAAGGAAATCGCTTTTCATGATCCATACCCCAAGAGATTGTCAACATGAAAAATGTGTAGAAACTGTAATAACTAATAACTTTTCTTTTCACCTTTTTACCCTTGTACACTTCTTCTTAAAACCCTAAGAAGGAAAAATAATAGATTGAAATTATAAACTTTGATCTATATTCATATAAAATTTTGTATTTCCATTTCCCAGCATTCTGGCTTCAAATGAATTATCTGCCCCACTGCCTGTTGGACTTGGAAAACTTACAAACTTGACTAATATGTGAGTATACATATACATAGTACATACATCTTGTAAACTTATCAGCTATGTTTTAAATATTATGTTTTCATCTCATATTATTTATGCATTATCAGGTTCCTTTAACTGTTGTTACATCAATCATCGATGGCTAAAAGAAGCTCTACATCCAGAAGCTGAAACCTTTAGAAGTCACATATTGGGGACCAGATTGTGACCCCCCGAATCCCATATTTTTGTACCCTATTATATCCCAAGTACAAATAGGTTAAACTCAGCTAGCTTGTGAAAGGTAGATACTGTTAACCATGAAGAGGGTCGATCAAATGGAGTGGAGTAGTAGCAACCCCATTCCCTTTATTCCTCGGAATGCACAAAGTCCCTTTTCCTTTTTGTATTACTATAACACTGTCAACCCCTATCTATACCCACCTGGTAATTCACATTCTTTGTTTTGCTTCATTTTGTGCCTTTCCTTTCAAGTTACTTATATATCAAATGTATGATGTTCAAAAAAGTATTCGAATGTATAATTATTTTCACAAGAGAAGAAATAATTAAATAGATTGTTAACTCTCAAAATGGTGAAACAATTTTTTTTTCTATTTAAATTTTGTTGGAATTATTATCAGGAAAGGTCAAATGGCTCAATGCCTTGTTGGTGCAGATCTACATGGGGCACTTATTCTAGGTTAAAACTCACTGCACCTTGTATCTATTTGTATATAATTTTCTTATATATTTCATCACTATAATTTTTTGTGTTAAAATTTTTCACTTTTCGCAGTTGCACAATGCAAAATGGCTGGTTTCACTGGAGTGAGTGGGATCATGATCCGTGAAACTGCAGAGACAAGTATTGCTATGTTTATTTGTTTTCAGAGGTCAAGTATTGCTATCATCTCACATTTGAGTTTATAGGAATCAACAATCTCTGTGAAACTTCTAGTGTTCAGATTTCTTACTGGTTGTGAATATTTGTTTCTTCCCTTTCTACCCTTCACTTGCAGGTTGATGATTTGTCAAGAATGTTCAAACTATTTTCCAAAAATATCCCATGGATTGGATCCTGTCTCTAGTATGTTTAAATAGGTTTGTGATTTAGGAGTTGGATTTTTTTTTTTAAAAGTAGAATGCAGTTATTTGTATTTGTTGTCATCTATTTTTATCTTTTTGATGTAATGCAGCATGTTGCTGCTGAAGGCACAACCTTGGTCAAACAGACAGAAGATGCTGCAAGTAATAAGAAGGCAGAAAAGAGATTGCATGTTGATCTTGCTACATGGCCAATAATGATCTTTAGAGTCTGCTAGAAGGATTGGAGATTGCAGTTAAGCTTCTTTTTAAGACTTCACGCCAAGGACTTGATGAATTTAAGATATCATATTTTTGCATGGCTAGAAGCTTTGGAGGAAACGAGACTCAAGCAAAAGTAAACATACAGAGAGTTGTTGGCACATAGTAAGCTAGATAATGCAATTGTATATAAATGAGTTCATTATTTTATAACTTTTACTCACTATTGGAATAATTATTTGTATTCGACATATTAGTGAAATGAATTATCTTTGTTATTTATGGTATTTTATTTTGTATTATGAGATTTTTAATGTATTATTTAATTTGAAAATTAGTAAATCTATAAATAATATTATTTTAAAACATTTAAAATTATGATACGCAAAAATGTGTGTCATCTTCATTTATGACATGGCCTTTCTTGACAGGAGCTTTCTTGATACACATTGTGTGTCATTAACACGAGCGTCATAAGGTTACGACACGCGAATGTGTGTCGTCTTCCTTTATGACAAGGCCTTCCTTGATACGCATTGCGTGTCGTAAACGCGCGTCGTAATTGCGCGCCGTCTCTCTTTATGACATGGCCTTCCTTGATGCGCATTTGCGCGTCGTCTGAGCCTTTTACGACGCGCAATGAGCGTCGTAAAAGGCTGTTTTTCTAGTAGTGTTAAAATATTTTAGTATTGAGTTTTTAGTATTTATTATTTCGAAAGGGTTGAAGTATTAGAAGAATTTTTATTCAAAAGGAACATTACGATCAGAGAAGATTTAAGCGAAATTATCTAAAATGCGAGTTTTTAGATTTGAAGAGTCGAATTCCTAAGACACATTACCAGTGATGTGGGAATTCTTGAGGACCCTGTTAAAAATTAAAACCTCTGAGTATTTGTCAACACCGAGGATGCCGACAGGAATTCGGCAAATTCTAGGTCTTGCTGACCTACTGTCGAGAGTTCATTCAGAACTCCTTGCGGATTACGAAACCTCTTATGACTTTGAATCAGAAGGGAGTGGCCCTTAACTGTGATGACAAGCAAGAGGAAGAAAACCTTGGAATTTTAGTTGAGAGGCCAATTCCTTTTGGAAATCTCACTCTGGGAAAGCTTGATACGCTTCGGAAAGCATGGTAAGCTAAATCCAGAATAGTTAGGACCTCTGATATTTTTGCCGAAATCGGTCCTGTAACTCACAAACCAACCTACACCACGAACTCAGTGACGTACATTTTACCCTTCATGTCTCGAACTTGAAACCGTACCTTTCCGTTAGGACTCTCATAAGGCCACTCGACAAGATCAAGATCAACGAGATCCTCACCTTCGTGGAAGCACCGTAGTGACCCTCGACCAAGTGGTCAAGCGGACGAAGAAAACGTCGTTGCCCATTAGTGAAGGTTCGTTGGAATACCAACCGAGGACCTGAATTCATTCATGAGCAAGAGAACAAATCGATTAGGAAGTTTTCCCACACTCCTTGTTTGATATTCATGCCTACTTCCTTACCTAAATCCTAATTTCGGGACGAAATTCCTTCTAACGGGGGGGGGGGGGGGATGATGTGACAACCCGAAATTTCTATTGTCTACAAACATAGCAAGTCAATAAAAGTCAGAACAGTTACTGTTAAATTTTAGATTTTTAGAATAAGTTTGAGTATTTCGGGATTCACACTTTATAGATATCAGGAGAGAGGATGCACTAGGGTTATTGTGCAACACTGTTATTCCAAAACTCTAAGAAATTAGAGTTCACTGCCTAAATAAAATATTTTCTGCCAAAAACCCTAAATTTGGGAGTATATATATGAGAGTTAGTCATTATTTACACTTTTTCCAAATCTCAAGATCCAAAACCCATTTCTATGGAACTGCCTTGTATTGTAAGTACTTTTAGTTAGGCTTTATGCGGCCAAAACTTTTGCTACTCCGGATATGAAGTAAGACCTGCGTGAAGGTCAATTTTCCCTGAACTTATTACATCTTAAACATCGATGATGTTGACAGTCGGCTAACTTCCTTGTCACGTTTTTGTTCAAATACTCTGATCATACTTTCATTGGAGTCTATCTGGAACATGCTTTAGCCAAGTCATTGGACTATAGTAATTTAACTCCGGAGACGTTTCCAAGTCTCTTTCAGTGGTTGAATCATATTATCCACCAATCTATAGTACCTTGGCACGAATGACAAACGTCTTGAGACCATTGTACGAGCTTACTTCCACTCTTTGCTAGGGCTGCATCATAGGGATGTAGGTTAAACCTTCGTGAACATACTTCCATTCCGTACTAGGACTGCATCATAGGGATGTAGGTCAAACCTTAGAGAACATACTTCTATTCTTTACATGAACGATCGAACTACGTCTAGGTTCAACCATACTCGCTAACAAATTCATTTTCTTTCCATGAACCAGAATCATGACGCCAAAGAAAAACGATCAGCCCATCAACCAAACACCAACTCTTCAGATTGATGCAGCTACCTTTCAAGCTGCAGTCTCGGTTGCCGTATCAGCTATTCCGACCCACCTCAACGCTAACAACACGAATGTTAGCGGTATTCTTAACAACAATTCCAATCTAGGTAACAATCAAGTACCTCAACGAGAAATAAACTGCCACGACACCCCGAGCCCCAAGACCAAGAGTAACAACGGAAGTCTTGGGCTAAATCTAAGGACAAATCACTTCGAAGGGCGAACAAGAAGCAACCACTGGTAACGACCTTCACAGCCATGACATCGGTACCTCCTACTACCATCCCTTCAGGTATCCGAGTTGTCCCTAACTTAGCCAGACAATATGCTGGAAATCTCCCAAAGTGCAACAAATGCAACTACCACCACCGCGGACCTTGTCGGGAGATGCAGTGCTCAAACTACAACATAAAGGGACACACCATACGTTACTGCAAGAGCCTACCAAGGCCGAATAACCAAGTGCCCAACACTGGTGTGAACCAGGCTTGCTAGGTTGTGGCAAGGTGGGTCACGACAAAAGGAACTGCCCAGAGGCAACAAATGCTGGCACAGACGGAAGTATGCTACCGACCACCACCGCAGGAGAGACTACTATGGACTGATGTTAAAGTAATTAAGGTGTTTCGTTGTAACCGACTTATAAACTATTTAAAACTAGTGCAACTAGAGTCTTATCTTCTGCGAGATCCCATCAGTTAAGGGATCCTCGTGCTGCGTATACTCGTCTTTTGTAGTATACCTTGTTCGCAGCAATAGTCTTGTACTAAATCTAAAGTACAGTAACTCTGTTAAAGGTTGCACTGTTGTGTTTTGTCTGTAATGCCTTATGTTCAAATCTAATGTCTTTAGTTTCCATATGATCCCGACTTTATCTTACGAATCGGGTCAATTCGATCCTCGCAATATCAGTCTCATGCACACATCTCTTTCTCCGAAATCGTCTTTCTAGCGAAACTGTCATTCCAGAACACTGAAGTACTCATTCATGGAGTACCTCATGTTTCAAATTCATTATGAAGAAATCTCAACAAAAGAATGATAGGACCAAGCTTCTCACCTATGAGAGTCTTGGTCTTATTCTTCAAGAAGACAGACTTCAACGGGTGTGATCATACCAGCACTTATGCACCGGATCCCATCAGAACTCCGCAGTTAAGCGTGCTTGGGCGAGAGTGATACTAGGATGGGTGATACCCTGGGAAGTCCTTGTGGTGCATACCTTGATAGGACTTCCATTAGAAATCATTACCTTCTGCCACACATAGATGAATTAGTTGACCCACCACAGAGAACGAAGTACCTTTCGGAAATGAACCTAAGATCTGAATATCACCAATTATGAGTGTTAGTGAAGGGTGTCCCGAGGACAATCTTCCAAACTCGATGCGGACGCTACGAGTCTGTAGTGATACCCCTCAAATAGGACCAATACGCCCGTAGTATTCATAAACTTAATGAATAGGGTACGCCATTCTTACTTGGATCAGTTCGTCATTGTCTTATTGGAAATGACTTACTTATCCACCCTTGTAGTAAAAAGAAAATCATAAAGAGCATCTACAACAAACCCTAGGAACATTACGATCAGAGAAGATTTATGCGAAGTTATCTAAAATGCGAGTTTTTAGATTTGAAGAGTTGAATTCCTAAGACACATTACCAGTGATGTGGGAATTCTTGAGGACCCTATTAAAAATCAAAACCGCTGAGAATGTGTCAACACCGAGGATGCCGATAGGAATTCGCCAAATTCTAGATCTCGCTGACCTACTGTCGAGATTTCATTCAGAACTCCTCGCGGATTACGAAACCTCTTATGACTTTGACTCAGAAGGGAGTGGCCCTTAACTGCGAAGATAAGCAAGAGGAAGAAAACCTTGGAATTTCAGTTGAGAGGCCAATTCCTTTTGGAAATCTCACTCTGGGAAAGCTTGATACGCTTCGGAAAGCATGGTAAGCTAAATCCAGAATAGTTAGGACCTCCGATATTTTTGCCGAAATCGGTCCTGTAACTCACAAACCAACCTACACCACGAACTCAGTGACATACATTTTACCCTTCACGTCTCGAACTTGAAACCGTACCTTTCCGTTAGGACTCTCATAAGGCCACTCGACAAGATCGAGATCAACGAGATCCTCGCCTTCGTGGGAGAACTGTAGTGACCCTCGACCAAGTTGTCAAGCAGAAGAAGAAAACGTTGTCGCCCATTAGTGAAGGTTCGTTGGAATACCAACCGAGGACCTGAATTCACTCATGAACAAGAGAACAAATCGATTAGGAATTTTCCTACACTCCTTGTTTGATTATTCATGCCTACTTCCTTACCTAAATCCTAATTTCGGGACGAAATTCCTTCTAACGGGGGGGGGGGGGGGATGATGTGACAACCCGAAATTTCTATTGTCTACAAACATAGCAAGTCAATAAAAGTCAGAACAGTTACTGTTAATTTTCAGACTTTTTAGAATAAGTTTGAGTATTTCGGGATTCACACTTTAGAGATATCAGGAGAGAGGATGCACTAGGGTTATTGTGCAACACTGTTATTCCAAAACTCTAAGAAATTAGAGTTC